ATATATATATATCTTTAAATTTCGTTCCCCATATGTCATGATAGGGGCAATTAGCAGATTTGTTTGTATGTTAGAAAATGACATTTTAGCTATGAAGTTAAGAATCCGAAAATTAAAATTAAATAAATAGATTAAAAAATATCAAGATGCATGTTAAATAGATGCTGTATGTGTGTGTGCGTCGCAATATTGGTTAAATAAATATATATTTATAACTAAAAAAATTACATACATTCCTATAATAAAAAAGAAGGAATCAAATAAACAAATAAATTTATTGACAACAAGATTCGTTGGGCTCCTTCGATGACAGCTGGATTGAACTGTTTACATGACACGACTGTTGGATGATAGGTCACGGGATAAGCAGTTCGGTTTCGCAAGGACACCATTTTTTTTATCTTCTGGTCCTAGAAAAAAAATCCTCTACTGATTTTTCCTAGAATTTAGAAAGTCCACCTTCTAAATTCTAGGAAAAATCAGTAGAGGATTTTTTTTCTAGGACCAGAAGATAAAAAAATGGTGTCCTTGCGAAACCGAACTGCTTATCCCGTGACCTATCATCCAACAGTCGTGTCATGTAAACAGTTCAATCCAGCTGTCATCGAAGGAGCCCAACGAATCTTGTTGTCAATAAATTTATTTTTTTATTTGATTCCTTTTTTTTATTATAGGAATGTATGTAATTTTTTTAGTTATAAATATATATTTATTTAACCAATATTGCGACGCACACACACATACAGCATCTATTTAACATGCATTTTGATATTTTTTAATCTATTTATTTAATTTTAATTTTCGAATTCTTAACTTCATAGCTAAAATGTCATTTTCTAACATAAAAACAAATCTGCTAATTGCCCCTATCATGACATATGGGGAACGAAATTTAGAGATATATATATAGATAAATAGATATTATTCTAAAGATCATGAAACCGATAGATAACGGGTAGGGTTTGGAGTTTACAAATGTTGCTGCAACATTGAACAACTTGTTTGTAATTTAAAGGTCCTTTCATCTCATTTAATCAGATGTAATAAATTAAGTTTATTTAAACAGAATCGCGTTTATCATTATAAGAAAGAAAACAGTTCTTATTGCTTTATGAACATCGATGTATCTTAGTGCAAAATACATCTCCGACCAAGATCGGTTTCACACAGGAGTCTAAAATGTGAGTTAACTTTTAAAAGTTTAAGTTAAAAATATAATTTTTGTTAATCTTACATGAAATTTTATTGAACTTGAACTTTTCGATGAAATTATTTTAAAACTTTAATCTAAATATTTTTTTTTAACAAAATTTCTCTACCAACAGTTATTCTGGAACTCATTCATAAAAGGTTTTTAGCCAAAAAAACGTAATTTCAGAAATATGTTTTTTACAGTTATGCAAAATAAAATCTGGTGCGTTCACTATACAACTTTCACTTACCGCTCTACATCGAAAAACAATTCTTGTATGGCAAAATTAGGATATTATTACAAACATTTAAAGCACATCTTTAATAAAGCTAAACCTTAGGTTTTTGAATTTATGTCATATTCATTAATACAATAACTGAATAAGATAAAATAAATCAAATAACATAAACCTATTTGTTATTTCGACTGTATGCAAGAAAATCTTATGATTGCATAATTTGATTATTTGATTCACATAACTCCAGTCTCTGAGCTCTACGGACTTAAAGAGAGATTTAAAAAAAAAAAATGTTTTAATTATGAATTAGTAACAATCGTACTACATACTAAAATTATAGTTATTAAATCTATATCATTTTTAACATGTATTAAAATTCTTAATTTTTTGATGAACATACCAAAATACAGTAACTTATTTAAATATAACACCGAAACTTGTCACACTATTTGTAAGTGCATAATATTTTTTTTTCACAAAGGGAAATTTTTAGCAATAAATCGACGATGCATGCCTAATTATTTAAATATAATATCAGATCTAGAATTATTAAACTACAGCAAATGTATTTAAGGTTATAAACATATGTTTTAAACAACCGTGAAATATTTTTAAGGTTCCAGGTTCCAGACATAAGGTTCGGTTCACCAAATTTCCAGCTCGATTGGACAATCTTATCCTTATCATAAATTACTTTAACGTGGAGCCGATGTGTCCCTATCACCGATTCGGGCCGAATCAATAGGTGCAACCCTATATAGCAGAGCAGCACTGATTTAAATAAAGTGTTTATATCTCTCTCATGATGTTTAAGACTGCATAAGTCCATATAGTAAATGTGTACAAATGAATATAATGACATGAAAACACTTGTCGATAAACTACACGCTGGTAACACTCTAATAATATATTTGCATTTTGAAGTCATATTGGAGGAGCATTGAGGATTTTACGAGGGACTTTAGATTGTAAGGATTAGATTCGAGAGGAATTCGATCACTTAGTGGAGCCCTATAACTCAATTCCATAATTATTCCTATTATTCTCATGTATATGAGTATTTTGTAATTAAGTAGAAGTTTAGAGCCATTTCTAAGAGCTCTTATATTAATGGGATGATGTTTCAGACTATCCGTCGCATTTACGACAGAAGGACCTAACTTCCTTTGACTGTTCACTGGTTCCTAGGACTCCACGCAACGGTGAATAGTTGATGTTAAGTTTTAATGCATTGGACCATTCTATATAATGGACAATTATTAGCTTCTGGCGCACTCTCTCAGCGTCCACTGGCTTCCAATATCATATGTCTTTTCAATCCCCTGAGCGTATTCCGTGAGCTCTCGAAAAGAAAATTCTCCCATCTGCGGTCACAATAAAAAAACGCTGCAAATTATTTCACAATGGTTTATTATTTTCAAACAATTATACATCTAAAGTAACATTACCTTCCTAGTTACAAAGAAAAATGAATAAAAGGCCAATTATTGGATAAACTTTTTTTTTTAATCATTAGTAATTTGCTAAAAAAAATAGTATTTCTTCAGTAACACATTCAAAATTTAAAAACCAAACTAATTTTTGGAGTAGAACATATAAAAAAAAAACTGGAGACCATATCTTTGCTCCTAATTGTCTGATTTTAAAGATTTTTGTTTTTGTTTTTTAAGAAATCCGTAAACTTTTGAAAAACCATATACAATATAAAAATAATAAATCAAAAAATATTTTAAAATATCTCTACTAATAGTGCTTTGATTTCGATGAAATTTCCTTCATTTTGTAGGAGATTTTAATGCCTTTGAAACATCGTATCACAATATTGACAAAAAAAGTGTATACTTTTTGTGTTATTCGGAATTAAATTTTACCATCCCTCGTAACTTTTTTTCCAGCTTCTTTTCGTTGAAGTATTCTATATAGAAAAATTTAAAGGACATCAAGAAAATGACTTTGGCGAAGTTTCATTGAAATCCGTACATTCGTTTAGGTGCTACAGTCTATAGCAACGCAGGTATTTTTAAAGTAAAAGGCGGATCGTAATATCGATGTAGGAGGATCATCCTCGGGTGACCTCTGATTTTATATCCAAGTTTGAAAAAAAATCGGTCCAGTAGTTTCGAAGAAAATGCTCGGACGGCGGACGGACAAAAATATTTTTATTCTTTTTACGAATTCATCCTGAAACGTGAAAACTCAAATTTTAAGAGGTGGTTCAGTTTTTGAATTTTTCGGTCGACCACAATGGTTGATTATTGAATATAATAATAAGGCTTAGTGAACCCGCAGGTTCGATGCCGACACCACCAATCGCTCTCCACCGTTCGCCCTCCAAACCCAGTCCCTTCAGATCGGCTTTAATGCAATCTTCCCACCTTCGCTTCGGTCTACCCCTCGGACGCTTACCATTCGGCACAGCAAATATTAACCTTTTAGGAATTCTCTCGTTACTAAGCCCAACAACTTTACAAGCCCATTTGATTCGCCGCGATGAAATTACCTCAATTATATTACCCGGATACAGCTCACGCAATTCGGCGTTGTGTAACCGTCTGAACTCTCCGGTTAACTCATCCTTCTTCGGTCCGAATATTCTACGCAATACTTTATTTTCAAAAACCTTAAGACGCTGCTCATCCCTTAATGTAAGCGGCCAAGTTTCGCATCCATAAAGAACTGTAGGCAAGATAATTGTTTTATAGATTCTAATTTTTAAGTTTCGGGACAAGAGGCGCGAACTAAGTAGTTTTGTCACAGAAAAATAACAAGCATTCCCCGCCTTCAGTCTAACCTTAATCTCTTCTTCAATTTCGTTTTTTCTAGTTATCGTAGAACCTAGATACCTAAATTTATCTACCTGTTCAAACATATTACCATCTATATCGATATCACCAGTAGTATCGCCATTTTTGCAGCTAACCATATATTTTGTTTTATCCACGTTTATTTCGAGTCCTAGTTCTTTACCGGCTTTCATTAACGTTGTCGTATTTAGTTTTATAGTTTCAACGTCTTCGCTTAACAGTACCAGATCATCAGCATAGCCCAGCACGGATGTTGTCCCGCCCAGATCCAACCCTTTCTCGGTTCGCATTACCTCCCTAATGGCATGTTCTAATGCCAAATTGAACAGGACAGGCGAAAGAGAATCCCCCTGTTTTAAGCCCGAACGAACCTCAAATTTTTCGGACAAATTATTACCGATTCTAACTTTATTGAGTGTCTCCGTCAAGCACATCCTGACTAGATTTACTAGTTTTTTTGGAATCCCCTGCTCGATTAGAATATTATACAGTTTCTGGCGGTCAATAGAATCGTAAGCCTTTTTAAAATCTATATACAGCTGTTGAAAAATACCTTTATACTCCGATTATTGAATATAATAAACCAAAATTAAATAGTCTATTTTTGGGGTGAAATACGACTAAATAACACGCTATTGATATATTCATCAAACTATGTCAGTTCATTTAACAATAGTTTATCGCTTCTGGTGCATCATTTTTCTCTTCGACGATGTGGAACCCCATTCCCCTCCACAGGCCGATCCCTAGGGAGATAGAGCCAGGAATGGTAACTCTAATTTCCTCTACAGCGGGGAAGTCCCATACTCCTACATCCGCAGCGCCGGCAGTAGCAGTAGCGACCCCGCTCCAGGACACAATCGCTTCGATTGATAACGGCCGTTAACTGCTCGGGGACTCACTAACTTTGCTCGTTACTGCCAACACAAAGGGCCGCTAATAAGGAAAATCTTTTGTCTCCAGAGGTAGTTTAACAAGACTAGTTTGCTATTGCTGCCGTTCGCGTTTCCAGGGGTCCCTTCCTGCGTGGGTTTATTAGTGAGAGTCTATGAATGAACAATTTACAAGGATATAACTTACTTAGCTTCATTAGCTGTAGATTCTGCATCAATGAAATTCATCGAGGAATAAGAAAATCATCTGATGTTCACAAAATCATCTGATAATTACAAATTTTTCATCTACCATCCTTCTTAAAGTGTAAATTAATTCTTGATAAATAAATTAACCTTGCCGAAAGAACATACACACTTGTTACCTTCTAAATGCTTACATTTCTTTCTTTATAAATATAAGACACACTGTTTAATCTTCAAAAGTTAAATTTTTAAACATATATTAAATTTTTCAAAGTAAATCATAACAATGCTTTTTCATCTCTTTTTTTCTCAGTTTGCTGGTGTTCCTCAAGGTAGTATCCTAGGTCCTATCCTGTATACAGTTTATACAGCTGACATCCCAATCCATTCCAACACTTTCATCACCACATATGCCGATGATACATGTATCCTATCAGTCAATAACGATCTATCTATTGCATCCCAAACTCTTCAATCACACATCACAAGTCTTGAAAAATAGTTTCAAAACCGGAGGATTAAAATAAATTCCAATAAATCCCACCAAATTACCTTTATTCTTCGTCGTAAACCCATGACTTCCTGTCCTACAGTATCCTTTTACAATACCACACTTATTCCTGTTGACCGAATCCGATACCTAGGACTCCACCTTGACAAACGACTCACTTGGAACCCCCATACCAGACTGGAACGAGTAAAAACCGCCCGACGTTTCCGACTACTCTAGCACAAACGCTCTAAACTGCCAACTATTTACAAAAGACTCATATATATTACTATAATAAGGCCTATATGGACTTAAGAGATCGAGCTTTGGGGCTCTACTGAGCCATCAAATTCCTCTCGTATCCAATCCTTACAATCCAAAATCCTTCGTAAAATCCTTAATGCTCCCTACTTTGTCACAAATAAAGTCATCCATAATGACCTTAATGTACCATATGTTTCTGATTCAGCTCAATCCAGATACCAGTCTTTTCATAATAAACTTCTGAACCATCCGAACCCTCTCGTTTCCAACCTTGCTTCCTCTTATATTCCTGATAACCCTCCGATGCGTCTGAAAAGAAAATGGCCTCGGGACCTTCTAATGCAGAAATATCATTGGAGTGCTACCAATGGGTAGTTTCTCCGCATGTTGTACATTTCATGTTACTTGTTCATATTTACTTGTTGTATTTATTATTAATTACAGTTGTAAATTTCTTTAATAAAAAAATATATATATATTAAATTTTCTATTAAAAAATCGAGTAACTGACTGTCATATCATGTTTTTGTATACTAAAATCTTTCTATAAAAAGATTTGCTGTTATTAGAATTTCCGGTTAAATTCACACATTATATTTGTTACATTCGATACAGTGATAAGATATTAGTCTTAGAAAACATACAAGCCTCGCTTTCCCTCCACATGTGCGGAGACAAGTTCGGTTCGAAGTTCCCATGGCAGACTGTAAATAGTGTAAAAAGGTACGCCTGCGTCTAAGATGTTTATTTTTATTACTTTTTTAAAGAAAATTTTTATTCATTTAGTTTTATTCTATTATTACCATTATTTATATTTTCTTTCTTCACTATGATATTTTATTTTGTTCTTATTTCGCTTTATATTATTTTTTTTTTTTTTTTTTTGTAAATATGCTCTCTGAACTCTATTATAAAGGCCTTTATTTTTGACAGATTGTAATATTTATGAATAAACAAATAAATAATGCAATATTGCTATGAGGTATAATGCTAAAAACAAAGACATTTTAAAGTTCCCTTAAGGGTGATAAAAAAGTAGCTGGGTATATTTGAGTATTTTTTTTTATTCAGAAATATTACAATCTGTCACAATCAAGGACATTTACAATAGTGTTCAGAGAGCACATTCTCACTCTATATTTAAGTAAATAAAACCAAAATCTGCAACAGTTCTAAATAAGTGACAAAAAATTAACTGACGATAATTACGAGAGGAGTTAGTCGGGGGATAGGGTCAAATAAATACTAAATTTTTTAAAAAAGATAGTATTTTTAATTATTTTACGTTTCGACCCATCTTGCAGGTCTTAATCTTTATTGATGATACTTACGTTAAAAAAGGTCATAAACGAAATATATTTTTTATTGAAATAAATTTAATTTACACTGATTGTAGCTTAAAATTAATGTCAATGAAGTTTGATTCAAATAAAATATTTAAAATATATTTATATCCAGAGATCAGGACTGTTAGAAAATAGCAGGTGAGGTGGTGGATCAAAAATGAACAGAGTGAGAGAGAGAGCTCCATTACAGGTCCCCTTTGTTCTCCACTCACACTCCCTCACTCACACTCACATCGTTCAATTTCTTTTATCTTCCCGTCTATTAAATGGCCATTATCTCCACCACTCCCGTGGCCTGATGGAGAGGCGGGGGACAGGGGTATATCGGCCTCACACAGGGGTCTGATCTATATCGTCAATGAAGCGAAAAGGAAGCTTGTAATGATCCTTGTAGTTCTGTGTGAAAAAGAATTCGAAACACAAATTAGTTATAATGAATTTCTGCTAGCTTTAATATATATATATATATATATATATATATATATATATATATATATATATATATATATATATATATATATATATATATATATATATATATGTTTGTGTGTGTATTGTGTCCACTCAGACGATTTTTCTACCGAATTTAGACAAATTCAAACAATTTAAATATGACCATTAGAAAAAAATTAAATTACAGTAATTTTAAAGTGAATAATTTTATTTAAAAAATAATTACATCATCACTTAAGCGATTTGAAAATCTTACATTTTCTTTTCTTATTTAATAAATTATTTAACTAGTTTGCTTCCTGCGAATAATTCCTATAGTATATTGGTCAATGAATAAATTATAATATAACATAAAAATTATTTAATGCAATGTATTATGTGATAGAGATATATACTTTTTGAGTTATTCGAAAATAAAATTTCTATTGGTTCACAACCAGAACTTTTGGAGTAATTAAACTGTATTTAGCCACTTCTCATCACGGTATAATTAATTATATTTCAAGTTCATTTATCGTTTTGGAATAAAATATACCAGGAAAATAGTTTTAATTATATTTACAAGAAAAAAATTGTTTGTTTCTTCTGATATTTACAATCGTATTAAAATTAAAAATCCAGTAAACAGGGAGGGATATATTAACATCAAAAAATATATTTATACTAAGAGATCACGATGCCATATTTTTTTTCAAACGTCACAGATTGTTATCAGAGGTCGATGTTAGAAAGGAGAGATTTTGGATAGCTTAGAAGTTTACTAGGAAGGGTTACGTGTCTATCTGGATAGGACCAAATCGAAAATATATGAGACATTAAGTTCTTTAAGGATGATTTCATTTGTGACAAATTACATTTAGTATTTTACAAAGAATTTTGGATTGTGAAGATTGAATACGCGCGAAATTCGATGGTTTAGAGGAACCCCAAAGTTCAACTCTGTATGTCAAATATGCATTATTAAAGTACAAACTTCTTTAGGAGCGTTTTGGACTTTTTTTATGGAGAGTGAATAAAATTGAGCTATCAGTTCTCCGATGTGTAACGACCGGGTAAAGTCGACAAAGTAAAGTGTTTTTGTAAATGGATTAAAATATCTCAAAAAATAAAAAGTGGACCTGCATATTTTAAGTGAGGGAAATGGTCATCATTTCATTTTCTTTGTAGTGTGCTCATATTCAAAATTTTATCTTAACGCGACGACGTGTTAGAGAGGCGAAACGTGAGAAAATAAGGTAGTAAACCAAATTTTACGAATTTTCTTTAAGATATGGATTAAAATATGTCAGAAACTAAAAATCGGACCTGCATACTGCATGCAATGAAAATGTCCAGCATTTTATTCTCTTTAAAATGAGCTATTATATATAATTTATATTTCCTATTATTAATCTTGTTGATTTTTTCACTTCAATCGTGTGGTCTATAGCACACTCCTTTTCTATTTAATTATAATCTTTTATAAGGATTCCAAGTGTTTGTCCAGACGGAGTCCTAGATATCGAATTACAATAATTTTTTTAAATTAAGAAGTCGACAGAATTTTACTAAAAGTATATAAAATGGTCTAGTTATCAAATCTAATAATTTATAAAAATTTCTTCAAAGCGTACTAACCATGAGCCTTTGTGAGGTTTTATTGGCAGCCACCATTTCGTTCAAGCTGACAGTGATAAAACCCATTTTTTTTTTTAAATAAACTTTATTGTTCCCTCTGAAAACCTTAAAAGTTTTTAAACATAACATACTTTCCCGAAAAAGGGCTGAAAAAAAAAGTTTCGATGAATCAACATTTGCATGTGAAGTATTTATACACACGTTTGCAGTAATTGCGAGTTGTTATTTTTTTTTAGATGAGATTATTTTTAACAAAATAAAATATTGAAATCAAATCATATGTTGTACATCTGTGGTGTTTTTACATTTTGACACATATTCTTTAGGACATTCGATTTCCATTATATGATTGATAGCTCAAACTATAAATTTACGGGTAGATTAATAATGCTGTTTAAAAATTATTATGAATATCTACATAGTTTAATAAAATATATATACAAAATAAATATAGATGCAAATACAAGACAAAGTACAAAAATCGGAATATCTCTTGTTCCAATAAATTCTACTCAGCTCTTATCCCGTTTTCAGAACCCGGTATACTGTTTCCTTTGTTACCCGATTTTCCATAATCCAATTCCCAGTCAGCATCCGGTACACAGAATACTCTGACCTCTTTCAAGAACTAGAAAGGGCTTTGGGAAACAGGCGTAATCTCCTCTTAACGATTGAAAGCGGTAGAGGACGCAAGGGTAGAGCGAGAGAGAGAGAGAGAGAGAGAGAGAGAGAGAGAGAGAGAGAGAGAGAGAGAGAGAGAGAGACATAGAAAGCTAATTACTTCGTTACCCGGCTACATACAGCTTTCAATACACAGCGGTCAGCCCTTAAAGCTAATAATATATGTATTCTCTCTACTGTAGCTCCTGATTTCGGTCAGAAAATCCGGTTTCATATCTAGATTCAGTACAAACAACACGAAAGATTTGAGAAAGATCCGAAAACTCACTGTGTAGTTAGTTGCCATGAAAAATTGCCATTAAAACTTTTCAAGTTCTTCTTTAGTTTCAATTGCCGTTATTATATAGATTCCAATTATTGGATAACATTTTTGTTTTCATCATTAATAATTTCGTAAAAAAAAACAACCAAAAAAAACCCTTACTTCAGCGGAATCAAAATCAAAATCCAAAACAAAGGATACAACCTTTGCGGTATAACATATAAATAACATCTGGAGGCCATATCTTTGCTCCAAATAGTCCGATTTTAATGTTTTTTTTTTATAAATATTTGTAGATTTTTTGTTCGATTACAATGGTTCATTATTGAAAATAATAAAAGAAACGTATTTAAAAATAGCAATATCTTTACTAATAGTGCTCGGATTTCGATGATTTTTTTTTAGGAAATTTAATTACCTTTGAATCATCTTATCACAATATCGACTATAAAGTCGATACTTTTTGAGTTATTCGGATTATAATTTTACCACCACTCGTAACATGTTTTCAGCTTCTTTCTGTTGAAGTATGTTATATAGATAAATTTAAAGGGCATCGAAAAAGAAGACTTTACCCAGGTTTTATTGAAATCTGTACACTTGGTTAGGCATTACAGTCTATAGCAACTCAGGTTTTTCGGGCGCCATCTTAAAAGAAAAAGGCTGATGATAATGTCGATGAAGGAAGATCATCCTTGGGTGACCTCCAAATTTGAGAAAAAGGAATAGTTTCGGAGAAAATTCGCGGACCGCGGACAAACGAAAAAAAATTTACTCGTTTTTCGAATTCTTCGTAACCTAAAATGTAAAACCTCAAATTTTGAGAGGGGGTTTAGTTTTTGAATTTTTAATTCGATTACAAGGGTTCATTATTAAAGATAATAAATCAAAATCAAAGAAAAAAATTAACAGGTTTAGTTGTAATTATAGGCTCGATTGTAGTGGAGTGTATTATAGGGATTAGAGGGAGTATATATATGGTCTTTAGTAATAACTATCTCGAAAATTGGTTCTTACGAGTTGGGTTCTAACTTCTTAACACCGTGAAGGAGTTAGTAAATTCGCAATTTTCGTCTAGACCTCTAAATTTTTTATTACTGTGAGTTACTTATATTTTCAAGTTGTTTAGAACGCTTGTAGGATGATCCGAATTTACAATATTCGGGAGGACCATTTTTCGACTCAACTAGTAACGGTCAGAGACCATGGATATTATAGATTTACTTGTACGCAAAAGCTAAATTTTAAGTTTTAATTTAGTAGACTTCGTTGACTAACTGAGGCTGTCTCTGTCCTTAATTGGAAGCTAAAAATTACCAATTACTTTACTACTCACTTACTATATATAATATAAATATATAATATATAAGATATAATTTATTTAATTTTATGTATTTATCATTTGTTATTATGGATTCCAGGTTTTATTTTGTTCAATGTTATAAAATCCATTATTTTCATTATATAATGCTTTTCTTCATTCACATATTTTAGTTAAGCTTCATCCTTTGTTTTCGATTAAAACAATGTGAAAGCTCAACAATCGCTTTTCTGGCTTTCAGAAGCGAAAGAATTTTATGAATGAGATATCAAACGAAAGAGAGGTTTATGGGTAATTAAAAAATTCCAATTTCGATCCTTGTATTCATGTAACAAATTAAATAAAAGTCATTTAAACAATTGTGAGGTTTCAAAGTTAACGAAAAGGACGAATAATATAAAAAAATGGATAATGATTGTCCCATAAAATGAGCTGTAAATGTGCAATATGACTGGGTTTAAAAAGTAATGCTTTGAGTAGATTTAAAAAAAAAGGAAAGTAGTTTTTCGAAAAATTTAAAGCCTACGTTCTTTTACGTTTCTGGCTATCTACCTTCGTAAGAAGAGTGAGGTATCGCAAACAAACTTTATATGTTTCTATTATATTCATGACGTATATATTTCTATGTATATCGGTACCAGAACGCAACCAATCTATTTAAAAATGTAGTAATTATATATATATTTGATATTTGGAGCGCGGGATGTTCGATACGGGAGTCTTTCTCGACGTTGAACAGGCGTTTGATGCACTCTGGACTGATGTATAAACTCCGTGAATTCATAGCACCTACATTCTTCCTATTCATCCATAATTACCTTGCTAATAGATACTCTAAAGTAAATTACAACGATTCTTATTCATCCATTTTTTCTCAGTCTCCTGATGTTCCTCAAGGTAGTATCTTGTTTCCAAATCGTTTCACGCTTTATACGGCTAACATCCCAAACCATTCCGATGACACATGTATCTTATCAGTTAGTAGCGATCCAACATGATTTTTTCCCCCGCCTTACCTAGCCATTTCTGGCATACGGGTTTTTCAACAGCGGTTGTATTACACATGGGAACCATCGATACAATATTTCGTTGTATACTTAAATAAATAGGTATATTTTAGGATATGTTTATATATTTAGGAACATAAAAAACAGAGAGTCTGTGCTATAGCAATGCACACCTTCTGTAGGGCTATGTGTTAATTAAATTTGCTATATTTATTGTTATGTCGAGGAATACATATTCCGATTTCTTGAAATATATTTCAATTGACTCATTAGCCTCCACGATATAATAACAAAAATTTTCGAAACGAGACCACTATTAGCAAGGATAACACCTGTAGAAATTAGTACACATTTTGTTTATTACTATACATGAGCGACTGTAATCAACCAAGGAATAAATTGTATCAACTTACAACGAGGATCGGACTTTGGGACCTATTATTTGACATAGCCTTAAACACGTGGCCGATGTAATCTTAACTAATTTTACCAAGTTGGAACCGGTCTCATCATGTTCCTTCTGCCTTCCTCACACATATGTTAAGAAACAAATATAAATTTTAACGAAATATATACATATATAATGACATTTTACGATAGATATATATTGTAGCAACCGAATATAAATTGTAGCAAGAAAACTTATAATTTGCAACAAGTTACAAAGTATTGTTTCGACTAATTCTTAATTTTCTTCAAAATGTAGCTAAGATTAGGATGGACGCACCAATAATGGACAAGGGCAAAGTGATAGACAGGTTGGACTTTAAATATAAATACTAAGCTTCCTTGTTGAATTAAAGGTTCTATTTGTTTCTATAACGAAGAACAATGCACTCTATTCACAACTGTATGAACGAAGTTTCCAAAAGAAAATTTTAAAATTCCTAAAATTGTTGTTTCTATAGTGCTTTTGAGATCAGTGTATTTCATACCTTCCTACTAAAAGTTGTGCTAAGATTAAGTTAAGCGTTTATTTATCTTGTCTTAATCGTTATCTTTATAGTTAAATAAAGATTTTGGATTTTTTTGAGGTATGTTTATTACTTGTATCGACCCCCTGTGAATTAATAGAACAATTGAATGCCGGAGTGTCCACCACGAGTGCAAAAAGATGTTTTGTTTTTTAATGGAGATTATACCAGAATAACTGAATATTTTTTTTTTAATTTTTGAAGAGAAGGATGCTTAGGGTTATAAGTCAAATTTAAATGGTAAAAAAATAAATAAATAAAATTACATAAAATAAATAATGATTTTTTTTTTAGTATTTAAGTGTTAAATAAAATAAGGAGACCCTAAGGACTTTCACATCCAACGGAGGGTTTTATAATTATAACAATTAAGGCGGCATGATCCAAAAAATACAAAAATCTCTTAAATATGTCCACCGACAGGGTGCGTTTACCCTACTTTGACTAATGCCTGCCTAGATTACCTAAGACAGCCTATATGCCTCGATATGATTCTATTCAAATACAACCAACTGAAACTGATACATTTCCGATTCCTTTAGTAAATGAGACAGAGTGACCCGAGCTGTGAATATCGAGTGGGCATTTGATCGCCCGGTCGTGATAAGAATCCTCCAGGACATTTCCCTAGGGACACGTCCTGGCTATTGAGATGTCCAGGCGTCTTCCTCGCACAAGACGAGGAATTTCTGATGAAGGCGATACATATCAATCAACGCTGCCTTCTAAAACCTATCATTAAGTTTTTTAAAAATAAAATAATGATTAACATAACGGCATGATTAACATTCCGTCATGTTTTAGAAATGTATTTTATATTATAACATATTTTGAAATCAAAACAAAGGTTTATCATGCACATAAATGATACAAAGATATTTGTAGAATAAGTTTATTTTATATAATAATAATAATAAAAGACTTAACGAATCCGAAGATTCAATACCGATACCACCCACAGCTTTAATGCAACCTTCCCATCTTAGCTTCTGTCTACCCTTCGGACGTTTAGCTGTCGGCACAACGCATTTAAACCTTTTAGGAATTCTTTCTTAAGCCCATCAACTTTACATATTTTATTCGCCGCAGTATAATTACCTCCAGGATATATTAATTATTTAATTATTAATTAACTGGATACAGTTTACGTGATTCGACGATCCGAATATTCTAAGCGATCTATTTTTTTCAAAAGTATTAAGCCGCGGCCAGCACCGGATTATCGTGCCCTGTGAGACTGTGATAGTGGAATAAAATGTAACACAATTATTAGGGCCAGAGATATGTCAAAATTAAAATACAATCCTTCCCCGGTGCGTTTCCTCAAAGATGGGGAAAATACGAGCAAAGTCAGATGATGGAAAAGAAGGGAACAATTTGTGTAAATGAGACGTGTAAAAGAAGAGAAAACCATGCACATCAAAATAATATTAAATAAAATTACTCAATTAATTAAATATGTTAAGACAAATAAATAAAAAAAATCACCTTCTTAATGTTTACAATATTTATTTAATTGAAATA